GTGACCTTGGATTTCACAATGATTTCTTAGATTTGACACCAAAAGCTCAAGCAACAAAAGAGAAAAATAGATTAATTATACTTCACCAAAATTAAAAATCAAGGCAAGCCATGGAAATTAAGAAAAAATGGAAGGTAAGAAGGAAGGAAGGGAAAGAATGCAGGAAAGAAAGAAAATAGAAATGAAAACCAGCATAAAATTTTAAAATGATCCTCAGACTAGTTCTTTGAGCATTATATTAACCTTTTTTCATTTCTAACCAACTGCAGAAACTTTGTTTTCCAAATTGTGTTTTCCCCTAAATCAAGTTTTCAAGAAGGAAAAAAAAAAAAGGAAGGAAGAGAAAGAAAGAAAGAAAGGAAAAAGGAACAATGGAACACTAAAAACAAATTTTTTTTAAAGATGAGGGGTTAAGGGGATCTTAACCCTTGACTTGGTGTTGTCAGCACCATGCTCTCCCAAGTGAGCTAACCTGCCATCCCTATATAGGGATCCAAACCCGTGGCCTTGGCGTTATCAGCACCACACTCTCCCACGTGAGCCACAGGCCAGCCCTGAACACTAACAAATTTAATGAACAATAATTACAGAAAACTTATATGGTATAGCACTATACCAACCTGCCCCCCCAACATATGACTATTAGTCACCCATAAAGCAAAAATTCATCCAGTATGCAAAAACAGCTGTTAGACCAGAGGGGAAAGGAAGAGGACCCTGTGGCGGAAGGTTCTGAAGTCATCTGGACCCAGGTGGCCAGCAGGAACCAAAAGGCTGACTTTTCAGCTATATCAAGGGCTCACAGGCCTGACTTTGCTTAATCTGTGATCAACTGGGACACAGACAAGGTTTTGGCAATAGTACCAAACCCTGTCATCACATGAGCCCTACCACCAGTCATGACCAGAGGCCCTGGCTACCAGGTAGGGCTTTCTGTCTGGCTCACAGGAAAAAGGTGAATCCCCTCTCGCGCGCGCAACTATCTGGCTTTCAGACTCTTATCAACAAGGGGGTAAGGACGTTAAATAAAGTGAAAAGAACAGGAGAGAGGAAGACCTAGGCGGCAGCGCGGGAGATCTGGGACCTTCCTTCTCTGCCGCCAGTGAAGTTTCTTTCCCCCCGATGGGGACCCTTGCACCTGGATGCCACCTGGAGGTAACCTCAGACCCCGGCTCGACCTGGGACTGCACCTGACCGCCCCGGGCCGCTGTCATTGCTGGGGTTTGTGCTGAGAGACTGGGAAAGGCAAAGGCAACTTCTCCGGCGGGGTCAGAGCCCGGAGGCTGGAAGAAGGCGCCGCAGCCTCCAGCTGCAGCCGCAGGGCA